ACTATTCAGTTAAACTAGGCTTTAATGGAGCCAATAGGTCTTAATCGGTTCAATTGGGCATTAACAGATATTATTGGGTTTTAACGAGTATTATTGGGTTTTATTCGGTTCAACTAGGCTTTAAATGATATTACTAGGATTTAATGGATCTTAGTGAACTTTAATAGATCTATTAGGCTTTAATGCAGCTATTGGGTCTTATTCAGTTGAATTGGGTATGAACGGGTTCAATTGGGCTTTAACAGGTACTACTGGGCTTTATTCGGCTCAATTGCGTATTAACGGGTATTATTGGGCTCTATTTGGTTCAATTGAGCTTTAACGAGTATTATTGTGCTTTATTCGGTTCAATTGAGCTTTAAAGGGTACTACTAGGCTTTAATAGATCATAGTGGACTTTAATGGATTACTGGACTTTAACGGGTACTATTTGGTCTTTAATGGATCAATTAGTTTTTCATTGATCTTAGTGCACTTAAATAGATCTATTGAGCTTTATTCGGTTCAATTGGGCTTTTACAAGTATTATTGGGTTTTAATGGATATTGGTGGAACTTAATGGATCTTAGTGGACTTTATTGGTTCAACTAGTTTTTAATGGAGCTATTGGGCCTTATTAGGTTTAATTGGTATTTAATGAATCTCTTGGGTCTTATTCGGTTCAATTGGGCTTTAACGGGTACTATTGGGCTCTATTCGGTTCAATTGAGCTTTAACGGTATTATTGTGCTTTATTCGGTTCAATTGGGCTTTAAAGGGTACTACTAGGCTTTAATGTATCTTAGTGGACTTTAAATGGATCTATTGGATTTTACTCGGTTCAACTAGGCTTTAATGGAATTATTGAGTCTTATTCGGTTCAATTGAGTTTTAGCGGATACTATTGAGTTTTCGTAGATGTTAATTAGTGGCCGTATTCAGTTCAATTGGATTTTAACATATACTATTGGCTTTAATTTTTTATTTTAAATATAAAAATCCATTGAAATTTTATAAAAAAGTTTTTTCCTTGCAAAAGTTAATTTTAAAGAAAAACATAATTTTTAAATTCGTCCCGACGGATTTCAGACGGATTTACTTATTTATTTTAATAATTTTTTTTCCGACAGAACACCAAAGGAAATTTCCGTCGGAAATTTAATTTTTTTTTCAAATGGATCCCAAAGTCCAAATTTTTTAAGTTGGAGCCCAAATTATAAAACTCTTATGGCGCGTTTGGTTTGACGGATTTGGATTTGAAATCCATTCCAATCCTACGTTTGGTTTGTAGAAATGGTCGGATTTAAAATCCCACCAACACTGGATTTGAGAATCCTTCGCCCTTACACGGGATTTGAAATCCGTCTCCTTCTCATCGTCTCCTTGTCATCATCGTCTCCTTCTCATCATCGTCTCCTTCTCATCATCGTCTCCTTCTCATCGTTGTCTCCTTCTCATCGTCTCCGTTGCCACCGTCTCCGTCGCCCTTCGTCTCCGTCGCCACCGTCGCCGTCGTCCTTTGTCTCCGTCGCCACCGTCGCCCTTCGTCTCCGTTGCCACCGCCGTTGCCCTTCGTCTTCGTCGCCCTTCGTCAACAGTCCCATCGACTATCGTCAACATGTAAATCATTTTCCTCTTTTGGATTTCTCTCTAAACTATGAACACATATTAGGTTAATCCTTCAATTTTGACAGATTAAGTTGAATATACATGAACACAGATTTGGTTAAATCTTTCAATTTTGACAGATTAGGTTGAAATCTCATGAACACAGATTAGGTTAAAAAAATTATACAAAGTATTAGAAACCAAATCCTACAAACCAAACAGAGGAATGGATTTCAAATCCAATGGATTTCAAATCCAATCCAATCCAAATCCCATGGAATCCAAATCCCTCAAGGGAATCCAAATCCCTCAAAAACATTCCCGCAAACCAAACGCACCCTTAGTCCCTTTCCCTCAACTGTCGAGCGATTTTAACTACGTACGCTCCCGACCTCCCTCTCTCATATTCGGACGATTGACAAAAACGATTGACGAAACCATTTCTTCTTCTTTGTTCGAACTGCCTGACGAAAACGATTCCTTATTCTTTGATCGAACTGCTTGACGGAAACGATTCCATTTTCTTCTTTGATCGAACTGCTTGACGAAAATGAGTGCTTCAATTGCTTCCATCTTCTTTTCAATCGAACACAGGTTTGAACTTTGAACACTGTATTTTAGTTATTTATCATCGATTTCACCTATTTTCTTCCATGGGTCCACTACAATTTTATTACCCAAAGAAAGATACAGATGGATGCTAGCATATTTTATTATCCAAAGGAAGATACATATTTTAGAGCTAAATGTGATGTTAGTCTTTAGTATGTTTATTGCTTTTTTGACTGTGGTTCATTTTTAGATTTTGGTCTTTGGGTGATGGGAAAGCCGTAGGTTACAAGTCTTGTTGATGGTTCATTTTTAGATTTTGGTCCTTGGGAATCTGACTTTGGTCCATACAACTGTAAGTAATCTAGTATTACTTATTAGTTATTAGCCCTTTAGTAACAATTGCAAGTTATTATTGACACCGACTTTGGTCCATACAACTCCGTTAGACTGCTGCTACTCCAGCATTTTATTTATCATGTCTGTTCTGGTCAACACTGGTAATGCAAGTCGTAGTAGTGTTTATCAACTTGAGCTTTTATTGCTTATTTATAGAATTATAGTTGTTATTATATGGATATGTTAGTAGCAGGTCAAAATAGTAGTCTGTTTTGGTCTTCTGTCACCAGAAACTTTGTGCAGACATCTTGAATCATGAACTGTAATTTCGTCAAGAAATGACTGATTTACCTTTAAGGAAACATCATGGATGAGGCCAAAACTAGAAATGCTATTAAAATTTACTTATTCTTTAGGAAATAAACAACTGCATATTAGTGATTGCTACTCATTTACTTGATTCTCAGTAAGATTTGCATCTGTTTCCAGCTGGATTCTTTGGCTGATCCAGAAGAAAATTGTTGCTGTTATGCTTAAGATGGTTATGGATATACCAATTTATATATTTCTTAACCAGAAACAAATGCATCAAATCTTCTTTCCTTGCATTTCATTTGTCCAATGTCTATTACCATTCTCTCTTATGTTCTTAATTTTGTTATCTAAAAGAAAATATTGGGTGATGAATGTTGTAATTAGCGTATGAAAATATTTCATTTGTTAAATGTTGTTGATTTGATTTTTAATTTTAATGAAACAGTTGTGATGTGATGCTAAAACTGAAAGGGTGGAGGGTAGTAAGGGAAATAAATATAGGATTCCTTCTGTCTCTAATTCTACCCTTCCCACACTTGATAAGTTGCCTTTTGGTTCATTGAGAAGCTTATGCACAAGGAATCTTTCACCTAAATTTAACTTGCATTTCTTTAATTTTTATAACTACAATTTACTTTAAATCAAATGGCAGTGATTTAATCTATAATTATAAAGATGTATATTTTTTTATAGACTTTAATGATATTAAGTTTGATGTTATTTATTGACCATTGGATCTTTCCGATGAAAAGGGTAAAAACTAATGAGATACATTTGTCTTATTCTTTTTCTCCTTCGTCTGGATATATATCCACTAGTATGTTGTGTATACATTTTCTGTCTAGATTTGTATATCAATTTCATTATTTATATATCGAAATTAAATGTTTGTTTGTCATTTTAATATTGTCTTGGTTTTTCTACTCAAGTTCTTTCTTGCTATATTTGTAGCTATGTCGACTAATACCAATAGAGGATGGATGTATAAACGATTAGATAGGAATGAGAACTTAAGTTCAATTTTCAATGTCGAAGTAGTCGGATTTTTGGATTTTGCTTTCTCCAATGAACAATTAGTGGCAAGATGTCTTTGTAAGAAATGTCAACTTCAAAAGTATAAAAAGAGAGAGGACATTCATTTAGACTTGTTAAGAAAGGGATTCATGCTTTCTTATAGTCATTGGTTTGCACATGGTGAAATAGAACCCGAACTTCAACAACCACAACAAGCGATAGTTGACGATGATTATAATAAATTCGATGGTGTTCAGCAAATGGTGATGGACCAAAATGTTCCTGGTACGTCAAGTACGAGGGACGAGCAAGAACAAATGAACATGCACGACGTTTCTATGATATGTTAGAAGCTGTAGACCAACCATTGTGGGAGGGATGCCAGAGATTTTCAAAGTTATAGGCAGCGACAAAGTTTTTGAATTGGAAGGCAGATTGCAACATACCAGAGACAACCTACAATCCCTAAGGAGGTGAAGACACGGATGTGGGAGTGTTTCCAGGTTTGTAGTTTTCTTTTAACTTGTTATATTTTTGCTAGTTTTATTTTGAACTCAACAAGCAACTAATCATTTATGTATAGGGGTACTATTGTTGGGATCCAGCACTGGACGCCAAAATGCTGCAAATATGGGAGACCTGGGGTGCCAAAAACTACAATGATGGCATGAATTCTGCTAGGAAAGGGTAGGAGAAAAAGCCAGAAGTCAATCAATGCTCTATGTAGAAAACGACCCTAATAGGGATATGAATATGTTGAAGGGCTTCCACCCTAAGTGGCTCGATCCTCGTATCTGGTGCGAGATGATTGATCGCTGGAACACGCCCCATTGGAAAGGTGTAGTTTCCAAGGCAGCGCATGATAACCGAATGACTATGGTGGAAGGTGATATAGCAAAACACACCGGCAGATCGATCACATTCGCCATGCATGGTGCTCGCCTGGTAGGTCCTTAAAATAGATTACTTTAGTAGCTTGATTTTTAATATGATACAATTAACACATGTTTTTATTACTTGCAACTATGTAGACGAAAGCAAAAAATGGCGTGCCACCGTCCGCTGTGGAACTCTTCGATCATACCCATAAGAAGAGGTCGAGTACAGAGTCATCTTCGGGTTGCGGGTCACGAGGGGAGTACGTGACTTTGAGGTGTAGCCGGGTTGCGGTAAGTTTACAATACCTATATATAACTTTAAACTCTATATTGGGTTGTCGTATGATGGAGAAACATTAGGATTATTTAAGTTAAAATGTTAGTGTATGTGTGTGTGTGTGATATATATTTCTCTCTAGTTTGGGTTGCCATTTGTTGGGCAAACGTTAGGATTGTTTAAGTTAGAATGTTAATATATATATATATATATATATCTAGTTTTGGTTGCCATTTGTTGGGCAAACGTTAGGATTGTTTTAGTTGGAAACGTTCCATTTACAGTCGTTACGCTGTCGAAATTGACTAGTAGTATTTTTTAAACCACAGGGTACCTATTCAAACAATCTCACCGAAAAGTACGGTGATGATCCCTCGGCCTATCCCCTAGTTAATACTGACTTGTGGAATGAGGCGGTTGGAGGGTCCAAGAAAGGCCGTCTATTTGGGTTCGGGTACAATGAAGATCCCAATTTGGTCTTGACCGGGACATCCTCACAAGCAAACTCGAGTGGATCGTCTAATGTAGATAGTCAGGTGTGTACCTTTTTATCCTTTGATGTTTATTTMTTTCATTTATACTTCTTATTGGAAATTTTAACGTTTTATTGTATTTGTAGTTAATTAACAACTTACGGTCCCAAATTCAAGAAATGCGCACTCGAGATGAGATCCTACAGAAGGAGGTTGAGGAACTTCTTCGTCGAGAAGAGATCCGAAACAGGGAGGACGAGATCCAGAAGAAAGAGCATGCAGACATGATGGACATGATGAATATGATGAAGAGGTTTACACAATTTCAACAGTTTTCGCCGACCCCGCCGCAATAGATTTGATATGGTGTATTTATGAACTAGTGTTATCAATCGAATTTATATATGTATATTATTTCGTCCGGATAATCATATTAGGTATTTATGACATATTTGTGCATTGTATATTGGTATTTAATTTACAGGATCTTTATATTTTAGGATTTTAGATTAAGAAGTTTTTTGGGTTTTTTTCGTGTACCAGCAAAATTTCCGACGGATTTCTGGCGGAGAATCGGTCGGTAAATAATTAGATATAAGTTTTATTAAAAAAAATTCTGGCGAATTATCCGACGTAAATCTGTTGATAAATATTTTCCGTTCATTAAAAATAAAAAGCATTTTCATATTTTAAATTAGGAAAAAAGTTTTGAAATAAAAACTGGTTATTGTTTTGGAAGAAAATAGAAAAAGTTTACCTACAGATTTCCGACGAAAATTCCGTCAGTAACTCTAATCACATTTTATATGCCTTCTAATTAACCCGGGAAAAGGATAACATATTATAAAATTGTTCGACGAATTTCTGGTGGATTTTTTCGTCGGAAAATACAAATCTGTCAGAAATTTCATCGGAAATTGCATTTAGCGGCGGGGGTTTTTCCGACGGATAAATCCGTCGGAAAGTTGTTTTTGCCGTCGGAAAAACTAGATTTTTTAGTAGTGTCGGCTAAGGTAAATGTTGATAATCTAATTTGAAATAAGGGTTGTTTCAAACATTTCCCTAGTTTATCTACTTAACACCCATGTTCTCAAAGTCAGTAATGATCTAAATTTAGGAACATGATCCGTCTCGAAATTGCTTTCTTTAAATAGATATGAATACAGACACTGCTTCAAATGCAATTATTTGGGAGACTCTTTTGCACTAGTTTCAAACATAATGCTGTCGCGTTATTCTCCTTCAAAATAACCTCAAGAATGCTATCCGAAAGATGTAAATTAACGAAATTGTGAGGATGCCATCAATTCCTTAGGGGGTGTTTGGTTCACAGAATGAAATTTGATGGAATTGGAATCCATCAAAGGAATTTGACTTTGAAGGAATTGGAATGGAATTTGATGGAATTTGACCATGTGTTTGGTTGGTAGGAATTGAAATGAAATCTCTCAATAGAATTGGAACAATCATCTTTGTATGGACTATCCCATCCATCGCCCCGCCACACACCCTACCAACCACCATGTCACTAATGTCGTCGTCACAACTATCACCCGCCCTTCCCCCACCACTTCTGCCCTGCCCTGCTCCATAGGTGATGATTGTTGGGGGCAGGCAGGGGTGGGGCGAGGCAGTGGGTTTGAAGCCAGAGTGGGGCAATAGGTGGCAGTGTGATAGTTGTGATGACTGCAGTGGTAGGATGGTGGTTAGTGATGGGTTAGAGTAGGGTAAGGTAGGGTGGGGGCCAGGTAGGGGGTAGGTATGACGACAATAATAGTGGCATGGTGTTTAGTGATGGGTTGGGGTAGGGTGGGGTGCGGGTGAATGGCGGTTGTGAAGGCGACAATAGTAGTATGGGGTGGAGGGTTAGGTTAAGGGCGGGGAGGTGGGGATCAGTGACAGTTGTGACGATGATAGTGGTGGGATGATGGTCAGGGTGATTGGGAGTGGGTGGGTATGATGACGATAGTAGTGACATATTGGCTGGTGGTGGTTAGGGTAGGGTGCGGTAGGGTGAGTGGCAGTTGTGACGACGACAATAATGTTGTGGTGGTGGTGGTTAGGTTGGGGGGTGACACTAACATTAGTAACATAGTCGTAGTAGGGATGTGTAATGAGTGACCGAAGGGTGGGTGGGTGTGATGACAACAATAGTGGCATAGTGGTTAGGGTGGGGTAAGGTGGGTGGCAACGACATCAGTGGTGGGGGTTAAGGGTGGGGCATCATGAACAATAGTAGCATGATCGTGGTGGATGGTGATGGAATTCAATTCCTTCCATTATGCCAAGGAATGATGAATTCATTAACTTGTGGAATTCAATGGAATTTGAAGGATTCCATCCATTCAAGAGAAACCCAAAATATATACATGTCAAAAGCCGAAACAACTTCGATACTGCTTGTTTTAAATCAATGTAATCAACTTCTAATCCTAATTTCAATGTCTAATCAAAAGTCAAACTAGGCAGAAAGTCAACATCATGTGTATGATCAAAATCAAAGGAATCCAAGAAAAAAAGTCTAAATGTGGAAGATGAACCAAGTCATCGTTCAATCATCAATAACAATTAGAAATCTATAAACTTTGAACAACAAATATGACACATTAAAACGGATAAACGATATTACGCCAAAACTTACTGTGGAAACCAGAAATGGGAGAAAACCATGAGTAGGGGAGGCCATCGAGAGAAATCCACTAGTAATGATTAAATTAAAGTTGTGCTCAAGGGCTTCTATGTTGTATATTGAGAGAAAAATGTATATTATATGTGATAACTAACAATTTGGCCTAGAAAGGGTAATAAACCCATTTGGTCCTTTTAACCGACATGTAACCGACTTAGAAATGACTTATGATGTCGCCAACTCGCCATGTTTTCCATACGCAATACTTTTAAGGGCTCTGTAAATCGCATAGATGTCACACACTTTGAGTTGGGGGACTATACACTTCATGTGAAAATCATGGAACATTACTCAAAGTTTCTTCCTTGCGCTGCCCAACTAGCCTAAGTTGCATACACCGGCTGAGAATTTGGTAATCACATTTAACAAATGCATAAATAAAAACATCTGAAAATAATCAACTTCACACACACACACACACATATTTAAAATCCTGATCTGTCATTTCTCATCAACAACTAAAAATGTACACCAGGGTATATACAGAAGGTGACTTTACCATGATCTATGTTACGATCTGCATCCATATTCAGGAACTTCAATGTGCTCAAAACACGAGGGCTAAAACTTAGCCACAATGGTCTTTAGGTGATTGCGGTTATATACTCCAGCCTAGTCCCACATTTGATAAATTTAATCAAATTTATATCTTCGTTTCCACATGAGAGATTTTTCTACCCACTAGTTTAGAACTGCTGGCACATACTAAACATCAGCGTCATCTTGTGAAGGTATATGTTGTTGAATAACTAAAACTGAACCACCCTTATCGAATTCTGAAGAAGACAAAAAATCACCTACTATACCAAGCTCAAGACACTCTTCCCAATCACTCATTCCAGTAGTTAGAGGGGAGTCTACTCTTCCACTACCTTTCCCTACAATGAACATTGAGTACATCTCGACCATGTCTCTCAAGACCATTGCTGTCTGTGCCCCGTTGTCCACGTACTTCTCTACAAATCCTGCTTTGCCGGATGTCACATAGCTGAAGTTATAGAACATGAAAAATAGAATCATTAGAGATCTACTTTTTGTTGTTGTAGGACCAAATTATGCAAAATCCAACCATATAGTTGCATGAATACTTGCTTTGTTCAAACTTCTCCTTTACCTATTTTACAGGCCTCATCTCATTCTTCTTTATCTATTTCACATTGAAACCAAGGTGAATTCGGAAATCATGAACTATCATAACATTGCCTTGTACTATTTGGTCAAGGATCTTGGTAAAACAATTTCATATATAACGACACCTTGCATGAGACGACTTTCATATATGGCACTTTCAGTACCAAAGGTGATAAACTTTTCGAGCTATTGTGGTTGGTTATTCATTGCAAATAGATCATCATTCTTGCAAACGAAATACTGGAACTGTAGTCTCTTCTTTGACATTTTCAAGATGATTATGGTCCATTAATTTGCAATAAAAAGCCATATAGGATAATGGTTTGGAAAGTCGATAATCCCATATATAAGATGAGATTTCATCTTTCAATGGCATAAATATATACCATCAAGTATGTAAGAAGTTTAGAACTACCTGTGATAAAAATTGTTCAAGGCCGTGCGGTCTGCTCCCTCAATTTCTGTTCCATTATTTACTGCAGCCACTAAAACGTCATCTCCCTTGTGGGAAACAGTCAAACCCTTATTAACTTCTTTTGTTGATGTTGGGAGAAACCTGATGATGGTCAGGATCATATGATCATGTGTGCTAAGACGTTTACTAAGTCCTAATGCCTCACGATCATCAGGCCCACCAAAAAACAAAGTTGCAACACGCTGTAGAGGTTCAGATCCCGCAACCTGTGAAGCAATGGCATTATGTCCACGGTCTATGAGAACAGCCACTGAACATTGAGCATGGCGTAATACTTTCTGATTTGTTATCCTTATAGCCTCTTTATCTTTCTCCAATTTTCCATCAATTCGTTGATGTTTGTGGAAAGGAAGAATTATGATTGATGCACATATATCGTTTGCCAATTCACAAACATCTTGAAACATGCTCAAATAAGGTGATACATTTTTAACTTGATGAAAGACCGTCTTTGTATCTGCGGTGAAAACATCAACTGCCTCATTTATTTCCACTGCATCATCAGCACCATGGTCTTCATCATCGCTAAATTCATCTTCTTGATGCTTATGGTATGGTGAACCATCTTCTGGTTTCTCAGGAAGTTCAACCAAGTGCATCAAGTAAGGGGTAATTGGAACATCTTGAGACCCTCTAAGTGATACAACAAGTTGAACCATAGTAGGGACAGGGTGTGGACTATGCACACATGCGAGTACGATTAGCTCCTTCATAGGGCTAAGATATTCCAATGGTATGTGCTTGACACCAATGGTTTCACTTTCTCTTTTCACCAAGAAACTGACTAGCATGGATGACACCAAGGAACTAATAACGATAGCTATAAGCATCAAATTGTAGAATACCAAACTTGTCAGCTCCTGCATTGAGACAATAGATCAACTATGTTTTTAAAAATAATCAATAAACCGATAAACTCGTGTCTATAAAGATACTTGAACTTACAAACTTAACTTAATGATTTAATAGATCTACCGATATCATTCAACAAATGACACTTGGTATATTGTATCATAGTTTACAACAAGAAAGCACTTACGTTATTTAGCATAGCTGATGTCAACGTCAAAAGATCTACATGCCCCTTCATGTTCAAGAGAAAAGCAAGGAGGATGCCCTCTTTTAGGGGTGTCTTTAAGTAATGACAAGCCACAAGCGTGCCGATGATCTTGCCACCAATGCTCGACAAGATTACCATAAGAACAATGCCAACGTTTTTGAGTTTATTGAGATAAGTTATATCTGCTCTAAACCCGGTGTAGCCAAAGTAAATGGGGAAAATAAAGTTGTGAACCATGTATGTTAGGACGGTCAACAATGTCCGACCTGATTTTCCTCCCCTTGGAAACATCGAACCCATAATGAAACAAGCTATTATGCTGCTAAATCCCATAGTTTCGAGAGTCATAGCAGCAAAAATAATGACTGCACAAATCAACATTACTTCGACAGCTTTGAGATTCTTTTGGTTTCTATTTCGGTGATTAAGCCAATTAGCCAAGTATGTGGTGAAAACAACAACGCCCGCAAGAAGCAGGACTGAACAAAAACCCTTCAATACCCAAGTAAGAAATGTTTCTTTGTATTTTGCACCCGTGATTATAATTAAGATAAACATAGCATACATGTCAACAATCAAAGAAGAACAGATGGCTAGACGTCCAAAATCAGTGGTTGCAAACTTTAGATCAGCTACCAATCGGAACACTATAGGAGATGCAGCATTAGCTAAAATCACTGTGAGGACTAAGGCCAACATGACTCGTGACCCACGAGATCCAGTCTCCTCATATACAAAGAAGGCAATAGCTGTGGCCAACACTGAACATATCAAACAACCACAACAAGCAACGATGCTAGTTGGACCCCAGTGACGCAATATATAAGATACATCCGTCTCAAGGCCTATGAGAAACATGATAATGATTCTACTGAACAATGCCAAACTTTCATAGAAGTCAACAACAAAATTCTCAAAGAAAAAGCTATATATTTGTGGTGATCTCGATAAGACTGATGGACCAAGAATGAACCCCGCCTAGAAAAGATAGGAGTAGACTAAATGAGAAGAGATACATGAATCAAACCCATAAAGTTAAGGATAAGTCTTACAATTTTTAATGTGAAACATGTGATCATCCTTCCTGTATCCAAATTTTCAATAATATTATAATGAACGATTGAACCACAAAGCTTGGGTAATGGCATCTAGAATTGTATATAGTGCAACAAATCACATTTCTACAACCACAGCCAAATAGAAATCTTAGCCACAAATCACAACATTTCTACAAATTAGGTCAAATTTCTCTAGAAAAATTCATATAATACGTAAATTTTGTGATGAAATAAGTAAATGTCATAAAAACGTTTAACTATTGTTGAAATACAGAACTCGCAATCTTCCAACAACAAATGGCTTTGATCAAATAATTCATAGTTCTACTTAAAACATATTTTTCCCACAAATATGATACCAAATACATGCAATCCGATAAAAGGAACGACATTCGACTCCTCCTATTCTGGATTCCTCACACTAGGATGCAATTGAACAGAAGAATTCTAAACAAGATCATAAATTATTGAAGAATGTGCATGGGAGCATGTGACATACTTACGAGGATCTGAGCAACGGGGGCATGTTGTCCCAAGGGCTTGAGGAAAATCTGAAAAACGTGAGAAAGAATCAAAATGGAAGAGACCTGTGTAGTCAATGACAGGGCTGGGTTCACGTTATCTCTGCAAAAAACCTCATCCATTTTTTGCTGTCAGGAGGTTTTGGTTTCTCCAAGAAAATGAAGAGAAGAGAGAAAATAGCTGGGTGATAGAGAAAAACAGGTATTTCTTTCTGCAATGAAGCAAGTGAAGAGGAGAAAAGTTTATCCACCCTCCCAAAATTTGTTGCTTTTTCGATAATGGAGATTTCTAGTTTGTGTGAATGGAGATTGGAGGGAGAGAGAAGGAGAAATGCATGGGTTCCAAGAACGCCTTCCATCTTTGCATTTATTTCATAATTTTTTTTTGCCTTTCATATTAATAAGAGTAAATTACAATTTTCGTCATTGTGTTTCATGAATACTATGAAGAAGGTCCCTAACTCTAAGAAACTATGACTAAAGTCCTCGTAGTTTTATACTTCCATTTTTGATGGATAAGCTTTCTTGTCATAACTCTACTAACCTTAACTTTGTTAAGTTATGGGTATTTTGGTTCACTCATTATTTTCTTTCATTTTTATTAATAAATAGAGTAATTTATGTAATATTATATTATATTATAATATATATATATACACACACACGTAGACTAGGAGAGGCGGATTCAAACGAGAAAACGATCAACTTAAAACAAATGTGAGAATGAAAAATCAAAATGTGATTCTATAGTAATTCACATTTGTTTTGCAACACGTACGTCTAGAAGAGTTGCATTAACCAACCATTGCACGACGACTTTTCATGTGAGCTGAGCTTGGTGACATTGACCCTAACCACATGCTAAACATCACGAACCATTGGTCATTGCTCTTCATCTTCCCCAATAGCTTCACCACCACTGGTCGTAGCCCTTTGTCTTTATTGTCGTTTGAGATTTGTTTTTCTTGGGAATATATTTAGATTTCATAGGAAAATACATTAGTTTCCTGTTTTTGGTTTATTTTCTTTTTCTTTGTTTGGATATTTAAAGAGCTTGTCCTATACGGTTGGGACAGACGAGGACTAATACAATAAAGATTTCTTTGGAGTTCATCATGGACTGTGGTTTAAGATCCTGATTTTTTTCTTCTCTTTCAAGTCGATGCCCTGTTGAGTTCTTCCTCGTTGATTATCCAATTACTATCTGTGCAATGATCAGTCTTCAAAACTAGGTGTCTGCCTAACCATTAATCCTCGACACCAGTCGTTGATATATCTGTGCCTTTCTGATGTATTCTATATCACCATGGCAGGTAATAACACTAGCAATGGTAAAAAGATTCAATTAATTCATGACACAACCACCATTTATTATTTACATCCCTCTAAAGGTCCTAGCAATCTCCTTACCAAATACTTATTAACCTGTGAAAGTTATGATGTATGGGCAAAGGCTGTCCTAAATGCACTTGAAGGTCCCAACAAATTTTGTTTTGTTGATGGTGATGAGAAAAGTCCCGAATTTGCTGCTTGGAAATCCAATAACTCGGTTCTCTGTTCTTGGATTGATACAGGGGGAGTTTGGGTGTGTCATTACTATGCTGATAAGAAGATCATCTGTATGATGCATTGATACAGGGGGAGTTTATAATATGTCTCATATGGTTTCTGAATAAAACAGTTCAGGACCCGCGCTGAATGATAATGGTTTCTTAACAACTCAGTTCAGGACCCGAACCAAAATGTTCCATTTTTTTTTTGGTTTTTGAGCTGAAAAGAATTATTACTCAAATCTAATTTCTAGGGGGAGTCTCTGGAAAATTTTTGGATAAATGTTTTTTGGAAATTAAATTGATTTCTGAAACGAGTATTTTTTCTGAGCATATATTTCTTGATATTTTACTTGTGTAATTTCTCGTCGTACATAATTCAAATACTTGTTTCAGCTATTTTTCAAACCGTAATTATCACGTCTCTTAAATGATAATCATTTTCGGTGATAATACACTCGTTTGTACTCAAAGTTGTTTTTCTGATATTTTTTTTACTTAGATTGATACAAATTCATTATTCTTTGATTGTATGAATCAGTAAACTTGTAATTACAAATCTTCATTCATTTCTTCCACATATGTTGAATAATTTGTTTGATATATCACTCCTTGCTTGTTGTTTGTGCTTAAACGCTATATTTTTTTCTTAATCAATTTTTATCTGATCACTTGTGCTTCATAGCAATAATATTTTGATCAAACCATTTGTGATCAATTGAACATACTGTCATTTTAGGAGGTATTGAGTGCTTTACAGAAATACCTCAATGGAATGTTAGAATTGACATACCTACCCATGAGGACAACCATATCTGAGTGAGCTTTAACACAAAATGGGTTTGTGTGTAGAGCTTACAATGAAATGAGAGGGGTAGTTGTGATGAGCTAAAAGAATTGCCGAGAGTTGTGTCAGGATTAAAAGATAAAAAGAATCCTGTTCTAACCTCTATAATCCGGGCAAACCACGAAAATTATTAGTTCTCGATTCTTTGGAGACTAATATTGAAAAAGACAAAACTTGGGCCAGTTCTTGTCACAACCCCATCAGCTACTCATTTATCTCTTAAAAGAAGTGTTTCAATAACACTTGGGTCATGCAACTCACATTCTATCAGTTTCTCATTCGGAGAAAATTGATATTGAAACAGAAGGATATATGTCCCCTCTTCAAGTCTTTTTGATCACGAATCGAGTTTGATAAATTTTGTATAGTCCACGGTTTATCTTTTTGACCCTAAACAGAAGCATTAGTTGCTTTATTTTTTCTACACTACACAAATTTTGCAATTTATATGTTATTTTGCCGTAACATTTATAGATATACCTTTTATAAGATATTGATGATTAAATGGAAGTCCTAGTGAGATGAACCTTAAAAAGTCTCATATATATGAAGTACATTTGTTGTACTGAATATATTTGTTATATTCATAGGCCAATCTTTTTATAAGATTGAAAACAATTTCATAAGTTGAAATTGGTTATTTCCCATTTTCATAATATGAAAAAACTATACAAGTGGATTTGAAAAGATCTACTTACAATTTTACGAATTGACGGCATACATTGAAGATTTCATTCATTCTGGTGTATGATGCAAATGCTTCTCATTTCATCATAAGGGGGAGTATGATATAATGAATGAAATAATCAATTCTGAAGATCAGGAATCGGCAAAAGAATCATGGAGTGTGAATGCAACGACTGAAAATTATTTTTTGAAGATTATTTTGTGCTACAATGTTTGAGGGAAGTTAAATGTGAAGATCTCATCTTAACAAGAGTTTACTGAAAGAGATTTCTCAATAAGGAGAATGTTTGTAATGGAGAGAATGTTAGTGATTGTTATTAGGAAAAAGTTTTTTGAAGATCATATTTTGAAGATTATTTCTGAAGACTGTTGATGTTACAGTTCTTCTTTGTAAAAAGAGAAGATTGTTTTTGATCTACATTCGAGGGAGAGAATGTTTGGAAGATTTTGTCAAAAGAAGATCATTTGAAGATCATAAAGAGGAGAATGTTAAAAGTTTATCTTAAAGATTTTAAGAAGTCATAAAGAGCTTAAAGCGTCAAAGTTTCAAAAGAGATTCAAAGAGTACAAATTCTTTCAAGCCTGAATACAAAGGGAGAGAATGTTGGGATTGAATTTTAGAGTTAAATTGTATTCATCTTGAAAGTTTATAATTGTATTTTTAGATGGTTTGACTTTGTAAATCATGTTTGACTTTGACTTGTGCTTTTATAGTTTGATCTATAAATAGGTCTTGTAAGGAATTTTAGAGTGTAAGAATTGGTGAGGAGCTTTATTGTAATATTACTTATACTAGAGAGGATTTATAAACATTGACTAATTGACTTTTTCTCTCAAAGTGTTCTTATTGTTCTTATGAAAGATGGTCATTGTTCTTCAAGATTATGAAGATTGATCATTCCAACGAAGATTATAAGAAAATTAACTAAATATCGAATACAAACTAAATGCAAACAATTAATCTAAAAAATGCAAAATGCAACTATAAATTAACAAAGTTAGGTGCATAATATGCACTTAACACACATATCAAACACTATCAAGCACCATAAAAACACGTAATAAAGTTAATTAAAGAATGAAGAAACTGTAATTGGGAAACGACTAGATAAGGAGAACATAAAACCTATAGTAGGGAGAGGAACAAAAGTAGATTTAAGTATGTCGATGAGATGCAAATAGAATTGAAGAGGTTTCAATGGAAGGGTTTGGGAGTTCCAACTTTTGGAGTGAAAAACAAAAGAGAAGGAGAAGGGAAGTCGTTAGGAAGTGGGGTTATATAGAAGGAGAACAAAATGATTATGATAGTAATAAAATTGAACCAATACTACGAGCGTACATTGAACACTTCGAAAAACTATGGAGTTGTCGAGTAGAAAAATTAATGTAGAACTTCAAGGTTGGCACCTATTTGTAGATATATACAAACATCAAGTACCTATTGAGATTCTATTAGGAAAATCAGTAGATTGTTAACTCAAACCAAAAATCATTCCTTCAAATTTCACCATCTGAAATCTCATTCTAAGATTGACTTGTTGGAAACTCTCAATTTCTTTGTCCTTGTGGAACAATATCTTGTATTCTTACCATTATTACTTGTTTTCGGACGATATGGGATGAGTATGTATACTTGCATGTTATTCCATTAGTCCAAAACTTTTTGGGGTTGTCTTCACACAACAACAAGGGGCGCGTCCCATAACCTCTACGAATTTTAGGAAGATATGTACTTAGAGAAAATGAGCTTCTGAATGTATGAGTTTGCTTCAGAAGCCTCTAAATCTTGTTCAAAAGCTTGTGATTCTGAACTGGTTTCGACTCAGAGGCTTATGACTTTGAGGATTCGGAGCTTCTGGCTCTGAAGCCTTCTAATCCATGTGGGCAGTTTGTAATTCTTGTGCACTTAACCACCAACTAATTACTCTAGAAATCATTTCCATCTTTAATTTGGAGATATTATTGCATTTCATATAAGAGTAGTTATGATTCTCTAAGTTTAAAAAGAGAATGATTTCTACCAAAAACGAGAGTGGAAA